TTTCTTTGTCTGTTGCAATCATTCGGTTGATCATTCGGTGGATGATTCAAAGGGCCGGGACATATTTTAATGTTAAATTCTCAATAACCAGCAGAGTGCAGACTTGTTACCAGTTACCTTACTACACTTTTGTCATTTGCAATTGGACTTCGGATTTATTTTCTCATTGGATTAGATTTTTGTAGGGAGCTAATATACCTTCTTTGATCATGCACTCCATTTAACAAATTTTGCTTGTTCCTTTGTTTGTTTCAATCATTCAGTTGATCATTCGGCGGATGATTCAAAGGGCCGGGACATATTTTAATGTTAAATTCTCAATAACCAGCAGACTTGTTACCTGCAGTTACCTTACTACACTTTTGTCATTTGCAATTTAATCCTGGACCAGGCAAAAGTCCTGCTCACATTGGGACGTTCGCTAAGTTTCTCGATGTAATTGGACTTATATGACCCTAAATAACATAATTGACTCGGGTACACTTTTTCACCAGTGGGGCATTTCTCGGAATCACGCCCTTTTTGACCGCACCCATATCGCGACCCCCACTATAAATTATCTCGGCTTCTGATTGAGATACAGACCTCAGCTATGAACCAAACTGTGCCTAAGATGCATGTTTATATTAGTGCTATGAAGATACTTAAGGCCTAAGAGACTTAGTTTTTGAGAAATCGCCAAAAATCCGATTTTACTATATTAGCAGTCTCGAGAGTAACAATTATCACACTTATTTCAAGATATCTCCGCTTCTGATTGGAGCTAAGCGCTCATTTTGGGCATTAAAATGGTCAGAATCATCATATTGAGTGGGGTAGAGCATGGTTTTAAAGTCTTCAGACTTCAGGTTGTTGAGTTATTAGGTCAGATCCCATTTTTACGCTCTCGCTAGTAGCAATTGATGCACTTATTTCAAGATATCTCAGCTTCTGAATGGAGTTTAACGCTCATCTTGGGCATTGAAACGGTCAGAATCATCAGATTGAGTGGGGTAGAGCATGGTTTCAAAGTCTTCAGACTTCAGGTTGTTGAGTTATTAGGTTAGATCCCATTTTTACGCTCTCGCGAGTAGCGATTGATGCACTTATTTCAAGATATCTCAGCTTCTGAATGGAGTTTAACGCTCATCTTGGGCATTGAAATGGTCAGAATCATCATATTGAGTGGGGTAGAGCATGGTTTCAAAGTCTTCAGACTTCAGGTTGTTGAGTTATTAGGTCAGATCCCATTTTTACGCTCTCGCGAGTAGCGATTGATGCACTTATTTCAAGATATCTCCGCTTCTGATTGGAGCTAAGCGCTCATCTTGGGCATTAAAATGGTCAGAATCATCATACTGAGTTGGGTAGAGCATGGTTTCAAAGTCTTCAGACTTCAGGTTGTTGAGTTATTAGGTCAGATCCCATTTTTACGCTCTCGCGAATAGCGATTGATGCACTTGTTTCAAGATATCTCAACTTCTGAGTGGAGCTGTGGAGATAAGCGTTCATCATGGGCATTAAAATAGTAAAAGTTATCAAATTAAGTAGCATCAAGCATGGTTTTAAAGTCTTTAGACTTAAGGTTATTAAATTATTAGGTTAAACCCTATTTTTATGCTCTTGCAAGAATGGTCACTGCAATGGTGGAAATATTTATTAAATGAACTGTAATTAATCGCCAGGAAAAAGTTGTTTGCCAAGAAATATCAGTAAAATGTCACTAAAACCTCTAGCACTAGGAACATGCTTTACCCCACTTAATATGATCATACTGACCATTTCAGTGCCCATGATAAGCACTTAGCTTCAATCAGAAGCTGCGATATCTTGTAATAAGTGTGTCAATCGCTACTCGCAAGAGTGTAAAAATATATTCTAACCTAATAATTCAACAACCTGAAGTCTGAAGACCTTTGAAACCATGCTCTACCCCACTCAATGTGATGATTCTGACCATTTCAATGCCCAAGATGAACGCTTAGCTCCGATCAGAAGCTGATATATCTTGAAATAAGTGCATCAATCGCTACTCGCGAGAGCGTAAAAATGGGATCTGACCTAATAATATAACTCTACAACCTCAAGTCTCAAGACTTCAAAACCATGCTCTACCTCACTCAATGTGATGATTCTGACCATTTCAATGCCCAATATGAACGCTTAGCTCCAATCAGAAGCTGAGATATCTTGAAATAAGTGCATCAATCGCTACTCGCGAGAGCGTAAAAATGGGATCTGACCTAATAACTGATTTTTGATTTGAAACTTTTACAAAATAGCAAGTATACAAATGTACAGCAATTCGAACAAACATATAAAATGGGCCGAAATGTATAAATGCTAAAAAGCGTGGGTCAGTGAAACAAGTACAGAGGACAACTTTCAGAACAGAAGTTTTTTGGCCGCCCAAAGTCTCAATAACATCACCTCCACCTAGTAATAAAATTATGAAACGTGAAAAGTGTGAAACAATCAAATAATATTGTATTTATATAATATAATTGTCTCTCAAATACAGATAACGTCCGTAAACTCTTAAAATACTCCTACAAGTACATATTATACTGATCGGTGTCCGAGAAACATGAATTACGTCATCATGGTGCCTTCTTAACACGGCTACAGACCTTCCGTTACGGATGTAGTGGTCGAGATGAGTCTGTTCAGCCCTCTTCTTCTTCAGGTCAGTAACCACGTTCTTCCTTGCTGCACGCTCTTCACTGGATCTATCAGGACAGATCCATACAACTCAACAACCTGAAGTCTGAAGACTTTGAAACCATGCTCTACCCCACTCAATATGATGATTCTGACCATTTTAATGCCCAAAATGAGCGCTTAGCTCCAATCAGAAGCGGAGATATCTTGAAATAAGTGTGATAATTGTTACTCTCGAGACTGCTAATATAGTAAAATCGGATTTTTGGCGATTTCTCAAAAACTAAGTCTCTTAGGCCTTAAGTATCTTCATAGCACTAATATAAACATGCATCTTAGGCACAGTTTGGTTCATAGCTGAGGTCTGTATCTCAATCAGAAGCCGAGATGATTTATAGTGGGGGTCGCGATATGGGTGCGGTCAAAAAGGGCGTGATTCCGAGAAATGCCCCACTGGTGAAAAAGTGTACCCGAGTCAATTATGTTATTTAGGGTCATATAAGTCGAATTACATCGAGAAACTTAGCGAACGTCCCAATGTGAGCAGGACTTTTGCCTGGTCCAGGATTAATTGGACTTTAGATTTATTTTATCATTGGATTAGATTTTTGTAGGGAGCTAATATACCTTCTTTGATCATGCACTCCATTTAACAAATTTTGCTTGTTTCTTTGTCTGTTGCAATCATTCAGTTGATCATTCGGCGGATGATTCAAAGGGCCGGGACATATTTTAATGTTAAATTTTGAATAACCAGCAGACTTGTTACCAGTTACCTTATTACACTTTTGTCATTTGCAATAGTACATTTGTTAAATGTACTATTGTACACTGTTCGATCTGTTGTTTTATACATTTGAGTTCACATTGCACTTTATCAGATCATAATTTCAGTCGACTAATATTTTCTTGTCTTAAAACAGCTTATTGTTTAACATTTTACCAATTACTCTGTCTTATTGTGTTTCATTTTAAACTGTTCGATCCGAATTGTGAGTTTGTTTTATACATTTGAGTTCACAGCTGCACTTTATCAGATTATAATTTCAGTCCACTAATATTTGCTTCTCTTAAATCATCTCATTGTTTAACATTTGACCATATTTATTTTTATAAATTTATTAGCATAATTTACAGCCATCTATATCTCTGAGAAACACTATCAGTGAACCTACCCCAGTATTGCTGTATTGGTTAGCAAAGTGAGTGATAACTAAATATGTGAATGACCCCTTACAAAGGATCCTGTACGTGCAGAAATAGTATACATCGAAGTACACACTCATCTGCACACTAAAGTTACACTCGCTACAGTTCATCTCTCGGATTATTCCAGAATTGCGCGCAAACACACGTGTTGTCTCAAACAGTGAAACAGTCTGTTTCATTGACATGTAGTACGCGTAGGTCGACACTCTCTCGTTGTGTACGTTTTGAGAACTTTTGTTTAGACTTTAGGGGCCATCTACTTGGGACGTCCGTCAAAATTGCAGATTTTCAGACCACCCCCGGGGAGCACCCCCTCCCCCTGTCCGGGTGTGTCCGAATTTTCAAACCCCCTCCCCCGGACGTCCGGATTTCCAGCTACTTTAAAGAGTACAAATAAAACCAACTCAAATTCATTGTTAATAAAATGTGTAGTCACTTAGAATAGACAATAATACATTTAGTGTCGAACAAGTTTAGCACAGTTACATTAAGGTACTTAAGTAGGTAGCCATCCAATGGAATAAGTTTTAAGGCAGTAGCAGAATATGCGAGTTGTGTCTCGGCTCTCATGAGCTGCTCTGGGAAACGACTTCTCGTTCAAAATACAGGGATCTAAACTTACTGAGTAATTAGTGTCAAAGAGTTGAAATAAATGCGACTTTTTCGTTAATTCTGCCAAAATTTCCGGACGTCCGGATTTTCAGAAACCACTCCCTATCACTGTCCGGATTTGTCTGAAATTCCAAAACCACCTCCCCCTCCCTTTTTGCTGGACGTCCTAAGTAGATGGCCACTTAATATTTTATTTGATGCAGAATAGCTGACAGCAGCTACAATTGTACATTTGACTCAGTCTTTCTGTGCTTTCATATCTTAAGTCTGATATTTACTTTGCTCCTAAACCTTCTTTTAGTTCTGACAAAGCAAGATTTGCCATGATACAGCGACTTTTTATGTCGTCATCGCTGCATAATTTAGACTTTAGAGCCAAGGTACTAATTGGCAGATAGCTGATATTCAGGGCTCTTTCCCCCTACACGATTTTGGAGCCCGCTGTTTGACAATATTTACACTGACAAAAATTGGTCGACTCTTTTATCTTATTCTCTCACATTAAACAACATTAACCAGGTTTTTTTCTTTCTAGAAATGACTATAATGTGACTATTGCATTGGATAGAGTTTTCCAATGGCATTGTTTTCTACCTATCTGACCTATGTTGAGTTTCGCCAAGACTTGACGGGACCATCACATCTTTTGACCACCCCAAAGTCTCACTCGTTGCGCCAACACAGCAGAGAGTTTGTGAGGAGGGGCCTATATCCCTGATCAGCGGCTTATCCTTTCGTCCACCACAACACTAACTCACACAGTAACTGATGACAATCCTTTCCAACTAATGCTCACTGAATTTATCCTCAGCGCTTCTGTTGACACAGCATGGCACCAGGTACTCTCCCTTATTTTTCCCTATTTATTTTGTTATATTACACAAGCTGAACTGGCTTGAGGGATACCAGTGGCGTAACGAAGGGCCCTGCTGACCCCGCTGTGCAGGGGGGCGCCGTCTTAGGGGGGCGCCAAATCGTCGTTTGAATGTGGGACAATTTCGAAAACTTAACTAAAGTACTAGCAAAACTGCGCGTTTTGCTCTAGATACACACTTTTTTAGAGATTTTACCGGCGTATCCTCTAAAATCACCTAATTTATTCAATTTTAGGGAGGGGCACCAAAAGGGGAGGGGGCGCCAACAGGGGGCGCCTTTTCGGCAGGGGGGCGCCAACAGGCAACGTTACGCCACTGAGGGATACCCTTAATTTTTACACGTACCTCATTATTACATCATATCAAGTTTAAGTATGTTGAATTCGATTCTAATCGAAATAAAATGGTTAACATTTGCAAGATAGTAACATTTGTTTCACTTCAGGGACGGATCCAGTGATCCACTAACTTTTCCTATAAGAGATCTAGACGGACCTGAAAAAAGCACCTCCTGTAGTTCCCGCCTAAACAGTATCGAAAGATTGATCTAGAAGCTTTGACAGAGTTTTAGCTCTTTATGTCTGCCACATTGACTTTCTGATGAATAAAGGAAAAAATCGTAAGCCTTTTACAATATCTAGCGCCAGCCGGCCGCGCGTTATTGACATTGTGTAGACCCTTTGAAATTTTTTAAAGCTTTTAAAAACGGCCATTTCTTAGGATCGATGTCCTTAAAGTTAGTTGTTCAGATCATTCAGAGGTTATCGTTTAAAGTTTAGTTCAGTCTAAAAAAGAAATCTGAAAGAAGGTAAATATCTTAAACCTCAGCTGCTTTTCCTAATATGCGAGATGAGTCTGTCCGACCAAATTTTATTTGGTTAGCCGTCAGGCCAGAAACTCAGAATCTCAACGAATCTTTATTTAGTTGCTTATCTTAAAATCTGTTTCAGGTAGGTGATAAGGTGACGTTTGCAGAGCGGCGTCTATTAAATATCATACCTTTATGTTTGAAGCTGAGACCGGCGATATTCCCAAGTAATACGGCAGATGAAGACACAAGTTTTAGTAAGGGAGGGCTCCTGCAGAGATCAATTCACGGACGCTAATGTTGCCTTGAATTATAGTATGATAACCGACAGAGTAAGTTTGTATTATATAATTAGTGTTTGTGAAGTTAAGTTGTAAATCAAGTCGGAGGTTTTGTGATGTATAAGTATAATGTCTTGATAAATGATTCAAATTTCTGATTGTCTCTAAATAGACTTAGTGAAGACAGATTCTAATAGAAATAAATAGTTGAATAACGTATCGACATAACTACGTCATACTCATATCCTCAATAAATGTAATGGATTTGTAGTGTTGTAATTAGTTTAAAACTAAGAATAAGTGTGCAGATGATAATATAGCAATATAATATTGTGCCCAGACCCTCCCAGATCTGCCTTCAGCTCCCTGTCGTAGTCAGGGATTATAAGGAGCTCTATCTACTTATCCCTTTTCAGGTGACGTTTGCAGAGCGGCGTCTATTGAATATCATACCTTTATGTTTGAAGCTGAGACCGGCGATATTCCCAAGTAATACGGCAGATGAAGACACAAGTTTTAGTAAGGGAGGGCTCCTGCAGAGATCAATTCACGGACTCAAATGTTGCCTTGAATTATAGTATGATAACCGACAGAGTAAGTTTGTATTATGTGATTAGTGTTTGTGAAGTTAAGTTGTAAATCAAGTCGGAGGTTTTGTGATGTATAAGTATAATGTCTTGATAAATGATTCAAATTTCCGATTGTCTCTAAATAGACTTAGTGAAGACAGATTCTAATAGAAATAAATAGTTGAATAACGTATCGACATAACTACGTCATACTCATATCCTCAATAAATGTAATGGATTTGTAGTGTTGTAATTAGTTTAAGCTAAGTTAAAGTATAAGTGTGCAGATGATAATATAATAGCAATATAATATTGTGCCCAGACCCTCCCAGATTTGCCTTCAGCTCCCTGTCGTAGTCAGGGATTATAAGGAACTCTATCTACGTATCCCTTTTCATTCCTGACCCTGATTGTTGTACGTAGCTGTGACTTGTAATCTTCTCGATTCTCCCAGTTCAATTTCATTTGAACAGCTTCAGGTAGCATTTAAACAACAATTGTTACATGTTTAAATCTGGAAATATTCTTCGATCGTACACTTCTCTACACTGTTTTACACCATACATAAAAAATCAAGAAAACAACAAATTTTGTTGTGCAGCTGGATTGAACGGGTCGGCTCGCTCCGCTCGCCAAGGGCCCCCCAAAGAAAAATCCTGGCTACGTGCCTGTAGTGGATACTAAGTAAAAAGGCTTCCATGAAAAAAATTGCACATATAATATCTCGGTTCGGGATACTAGCCAAAATGACTTCTTTAAAATTGAAATAACTCCAGTTTTTAATATTCAGTTTTTTACTCTTTTTCTGAACTCTAGAATGTGACTGAGGAGTGATTATATTTGTCCTAGTATACTAATTAGCTAATATAGTAATCGGCTACAGACATATCTACGCCTATGTGGGACGCACACTAAAATTAATGGAAATAATTATCGGACTTTATTATTCACGGACCTTAATACCACAGACATTATTTTCACGGACATAATTATTCACGCTGAGGTCTTCAGTGTGAAAGTAATGTCCGTGATAATTATGACCAATAAGGTAGATAACATGCTTGTCCTTGCATTTTAGAGTTCCGTCTAGCACCAGTTCTATGTTGTTGACCATGATCGGGGGGGGGGGGGGGGGGGGGCCAATGACTACTTTTGGGGACTTGGGGAATTACGTCAACGATTTTACCCCGAGTCCCCATGATTTTTAGTCCCCAAAAGTCTCCATTAGTCCCCATTTAGATGATTTTTAGTCCCCAAAAGTCTCCATTAGTCCCCATTTAGATTTATCCTACTTTTATCTTGGACAAAACATCTCGATCGTATCGTTATAAAACTAACTTGAAAACCATAAATAACTGTCAAAAATTCTGGGGACTTATGGGGACAAATGGTGAATTACGTCAACGAGTTGACCTCTAGTCCCCATGATTTTTAGTCCCCATTAGTCCCCAAAAGTCTCCATTGGTAGTCATTGGCCCCCCCCCCCCCATGATCTTTTGAGTCCTTGTCAAAGAGGACGGGGCAAATTTTGCAGCTAGGTCCATTACACCTCTGTAATTGTCCTACATCAAGGGTTTCCAGTTGTCCCAGTTGTCGATTCTTTTCTAGTGTATTACCGATTGAAGGGTGTTTCCTAGTGGCAAATACTATCCGTACATCCCCACATAACATTAACCTAGTAGCTTAATGACCAGATTAAGTTCTTAACCAACTTTGTAAGACTAATGTTATCAAGAGTGTTGTACGGAAAATACGAGGCTCTGTTGTGTCTTATCCTCAGTGTCTCTGGTTGGATTTCCTGGGTTCTCAATAGACCTCTGTATTGCTTTCGGCTCGATTTCTTCTAGTTTGTCACCGTTGTTGTTGTGTCCGCATCTGGCAAGATCCTCCTTTAGTTCGCCCAGGTCCTCTACACATGGTGGGGTTGGAAACTACATATGTATCTGATCTCAAGTAGTTCCTAGCATCTGTTTCCTTTCTAAATAGCTTGTACCAGATCTGATTTTCTGAGTCCAAGCTCAAGGTAAGGTCTAAAAAGTTAACCTTGATTCTATATGGTTCTGCCAGTTTGATTTAGCCAGTTTGTTCAACAATTCGACAAACATTGTAAATTGTCCCGCTGTCCCCATCCACACTCCAAATATGTCGTCGATGAATCTCTCCCAAAAGTTTATCAGGGTCGCACTCTTTATCTTTTTGCTAACCTTTTTGAAGAGCAACCAATGCATAGTAACGTCTGACACTTGTCTGGAGATACAGTTTCCAGTAGTAGGCATGAGGCAGGGAAAATTAGTGTGTGACTGATTTAAGCAGTTGGTCACCAGAGTTCAGTTCGAGTACTAATTTTAAGGAAATTAGTGACGTTTTATTGCTAATAAAATTGATTTGAATTCACGTATTTTTGTTGACGTTAACAAGGCTCATACCTCCCCCTCCTGTCAGCAACCGTCAGCATTTCCAAATACCCTTTTCCCTCGGCTGCTGACGTCATACAAGAACGCTCGCTTATGTTAGCTATACATTTTGTAACAGCAACATTTACATTGTATTATGTATTATATTGTATTATGTAATTACATTAAATGACGGGTGGGCGACAATTTACCCCCCGACAATTATCCCCCCGACAATATAATTTAATACAATTAACCCTGACCCTGACCCTGACCCTGACCCTGACCCTGACCCTGACCCTGACCCTGACCCTGACCCTGACCCTGACCCTGACCCTGACCCTGACCCTGACCTTGACCCTGACCCTGACCCTGACCCTGACCCTAACCCTAACCCTAACCCCAACCCTAGGCCTGACCCTGACCCTGACCCTGACCCTGATCCAGGACCCTGACCCTGACCACTGACTCTGACCCTGACCGGACCCTGACCCTAACCCGATCAATTGACCCAGTGTAATTACATGGGGGTCAATTGTCGTACTAAGTCCTAGATTTCGCGACAATTGACCCTAGTTTAATTACATAGGTAGGGGGTCAATTGTCGGTGGGTCAATTTTCGGGGGGCCAATTGTCGTACTAAACCCTAGATTTCGCGACAATTGACCCCAGTGTAATTACATAGGGGGTCAATTGTCGGGGGGTCAATTCACAATTGTCGCGGTACCTAAATGACATGTACTTTTTCAGGATCAAGTCAAAGTCAGGCCTGCAGCGACGAGCCCCTTTCTTTCGGATTGTGAAGTGTAATGTTAATGTTTAATGTAGCTGTTTAACGTCGAAAATTGTTAGTTTGTAATTGTTTTTGAGAAGCAAAATAATTAATCTGAGAAGTGTTTTCAGTTTTATAAAGCTCAGGCATGGGCACCGTATTGTTTATTTAGTTATATTTTATACAATATCTTTGACCTTTGTCGCATTAAGTTGTAGTACTACTACTAGTAGCGGGGTAGTACTAGTAAATACTGAATACTGTGTTTCGTTTATTCTATAAGTATATAAATATTGCATTGTGTATCTTTGTCGCATAGTACATAGTATAAGTTGATAAGTAGCGAGGTAGTTGATACTGTTTCGTGATGTATTTTGATCGTACAATCTTAATTATTCGTATTATTATACCGCAATTCCTGTATTTTATCGTCTAAAAGTGAACAATACCAAATTAAAATAAACAAGAGGCATTTATAGCCTTCGATAAGTATAAATAATCGCACACGATGTACGTGCACCCGGGGTTAAATACGACGCAATTGTCAGCACTGCGCGCGCGCACACGTACCATCTTATGTGTGCTGATCTGTATGTGCCTATCCTACTTGTGAAACAAGCGCGTCACGCAGTACGCGTAGGCACATGGCTATGTGAAGGGTTGTGGTAAGGGTTATGGATAGCTTCGGGGTTATGGTTAGGGTTGGGATTAGGGTTTATGTAAAACCGTTTTGTACGGCTGCAAAACCATAAAAACCAAAGTCACGTGAAATTTTTGGGCGAGCGAATTAGTAAGAGCCCGTTAAGGTCGATGGTGCACGGCCTAACCACTACAAACTAACAATAGTGAGCTACTTTATCACTACTTTATCGCTAATTTGTTTGTAGTCACTACTGAAATACTCTAATAATAACTATGAGCTGTTATTTAAGGGAATTTATTGGGTAAGAAATGAAAATATCGTTAGAAGTATAACTTAGAATAGAAAAGTGGAATAAATTCTTCCTTCAGACGTGGGAGAGTGGATACCGCCAGTAAAGGGTAAAATTTTTGTTCCATTCGACCTTGAGCATATTCCACTAGAAGTATTGGTCGAATTGAATCTTGGTGGAGCTCCGATGAAATTAATGTCTATCTCCTTTCACGACGAAACAGTGTCGCCTCCAACAGGAGGAATCTCTATTTATAGCAATTCTCATACGCTAGTCCCCTATTACAACATATGGCATTGCGAAGTACACCCACCACAGGTTTACACCCTTACCAGATATCATCCCCTACAAAAATAGAATGGTATGGAAATTTACCATGAGTCGTGACAGTGAAGGTCTCCCAAGAATGAGGATAAGCGCAGATGGCAACGAGGTACTCGACTTTGAAAATCTCCAATTATGTGAAATCATTCACGCACACGATTAAAGTTAAAGGGTTCCAATTTCTGAGATTTGTTTTTAAGCTTATTTGGCAAAATAGGAAAATAGTGGTTTTCTTTGGCATTTGGGAGGTCTCAGATTTCAAATGGGTTTAAAATGACAAGAATAAGTTTAAAATTGCAATAAGAGGTTTAAGCAGGCAGTGCACCTCCTAGTTTGAGATTGCATTTGAAAGTGAATATGATTGGTTAGCAATTACAATTAGGTTACATTTTGTCGAGAACTAAATTGTTTAATTTCTGAATCGATATCATTATTGGGCTTATGTATTATATTCAAGGGTTGCGTTTTCTGATTTTAATAAAGGCGTTTAAAATGTAATTGGACTTATCTGTCATCGAAATTTCGATAACCGAATGTGAATAAAAAGCATATAGTTACTAGTAGTTGCATTGTATTTGTCATGAAGTGATGAGCCCAACATTTTCAGATAAGCTTGATTTTACTCAAACATAAATTTTGTATGGGAAAATAAAAAATCATTAAAACACCAGATAGACATATTGCAAGTGCATGTCGCGTATGAGATCAAACCGTTTATACGAAAGTAGCAAAATGCAGGATAGATTATAAAAAACGGGGAAACAAAAATGTGCACTATAAAAATAATGTAATGATAATATTAATTGTCCTGAGCATCTTTTAAGTTAACTTCGTTTTCACTTTCAATTTAAATTATGTTATACTTATATAATATATGCATAGTGCATACAATTACATCGTTTTATATAAACATATATGCCAGATATGTTTTAGGCTTAGATATGTTATAAACTTAGATTTATATCGGAGATTCTCTGTAACCTTTGAAATATCTATTAATGCTTTTCATGCAAACAAGTTAAATATAGTATATACTATACTATATTGCACAAATTATAGTAGTTTCATTGCACAAATTATAGTAGTTTCATTTGTTTTAGAATAACTGTGTCGAACAGTTATTCTGATAAATGAAGAGTGAGGTGCGGGATTAATGGCAATAATGAAGAGTGAGGTGCGGGATTAAGGGCAATAATGGAACTTTTTATAGTTTTGGAGATAAGTTAAATTATTGGTTAGACGGTCGTTAGTCGTTACACCAGCCAATGGTTCGGACTTCGGTTAACTAATGAAAACTAATTAATTTATTACAGTTTTCATAGTTTTCACTATTCAATTTCATAGTCAAAATTCAATAAAATATACAAGATATCTTATTTTACCATCCTAATTTAAATAATTAAATAAAAAGTGGTGTATTTTCATCCACAATAATTTTCAGAGTTGAAAAATACGTGAGATAATTTTTTAAATACGCCGTATTTTGCGTATTTTTGCTTAGAAATAAAATACGTCAAAAATACGTTAAAATACGTTTTTCTTGAAATTTCATTTAAAGACTAAAGTTATGTCATTCGTTTGCATTTTTTTCAGACACATTTCTATTTAACTTCAACGCTTTAATGCTTTGGTATAGCACGTGCCCAGTACTCTGAAGTCATATGCGAGGTGAAAAACGACAGAGCTACGCGAGTTTTGATAAAATCGTAAATTTATATAAAGCAATAGTACTTATTACTTTATTGGAGCTATCAATGGTACAATAACACTTATTACGTATTTTATTCAACGAAAATAAAATACGCCGTATTTAACGTATTTTTGATATTTTATAAAATTCGTAAAATACGTATTTTTCAACTCTGATAATTTTGCTCTTACTAAGGAGGGAGCTGGTTTATTGTAGTCGATCGGATTTTAAACTTGTAGTAGTAATTATATGATAAAAATGTTAAAAGGAAGCCAGGGTACACAGTGGTCTACTGGCAGCAGTGGCGTAACGAAGGGTCCCGCTGACCCCGCTGACTCGACGTTTGAATGCGGGACAATTTTTTTAGACTTAACTGAGGTAACCATAGCAACTACCCTAGTAATTATAGCAACTACCCAAGTAACCATAGCAACTACCCTAATAACCATCTAGCAACTACCCTAGTAACCATAGCAACTACCCTTGTAACCATAGCAACTACCCTAGTAACCATAGCAACTACCCTAGTAACTATAGCAACTACCCTAGTAACTATAGCACCTACCCTATAACTTCTTACAAGCAGATTTATACACGGATTTTCTACAAGAAAAGACAATAAGTTAGCCAAAACAAAAGAAAGCTATAGGCTTCAATTGACAATATTCTGAATACTACTGAAGATAAAAACAATAATACAAACTATCATACTAATTAATTCACTAATTAATTCACTAATTAATTTACTAATTAATTCACTAATTAATTCACTAATTAATCCACTAATTAATTCACTAATCAATTCACTAATTAATTCACTAATAATCCAATATCAAATTCGGCAATGCATGCCTTTTATAATACCTCTTCATAGGTGAAATTTAATTAGTCCAACTTTAAACTTACTATACTTCTACTGCTTTAGGGATAAAAATTCAAACTAAAATGTTTAAAAACTCCAATTTTCATCAAGGTGCTTTGTTTTCAAAGCTAACCCGTTAAATAACGCAAGTAAAATATTTGGTGCGCTTCCATTTATGACATAATCTATTATAGGTCCGTTAATAAATTTCCATTGTCTAGTCTTAATAATTGTAATAAGTCGGACATGGTAATATGCAAATATGCAAATGTCATCAATCGTATCACACATGCAATCGAGTATAAAAATCTTTGTTATTAATTTGGTATTTTAATTTCCAAATCACATTACACAGAAATTATTAATTATAATTAATTAAGAAAATGTCAGATTTTAGTTGTCTAATCTGGTGTCTGTTGATAACTGTCAGGCAGAACCGTAACATCGTTACCACGGTAACCGTAACATGGTAACCGTGATAACCGTAATATGGTAAGATATGCTGATGAATTAGAAAAAAACTGTTTCATAAATCCATCTAACATACTTTGTTCATTGTTGCATTCTATAGCGTATTGATGCCAATGGATAATTCTAAACGCAATATGACAATGGCTGTTTTTAGAGAACCATTATTAAGACCCATGATCTTGCCAAATGCAATTCTTATTGGCACTTATAATATGTATATATATATGTATAAACATTAAACATAAACACATAAAAATGCTATCACTCTAATATAATAACAAATGTCATTTATTTCTACCATGCTTAAATCTGAATAATCTACGTATCTTACATTTAATTGTGTTATGTTATATCTTAATAAATCTAAAAGTATGGAGTGGCAATTGAAAGAAATTTAAAAAGTCCCTGACCTAAAAATGATAGATTGTAAATGGCACCTTTTTCAACGGATTCAGATAGACAAGTCCTCAGAACAAACTAAACAGAGTAACTGTTACCAGGCAACTGTTAGTGTTACCAGGCAACTGTTAGTGTTACCAGGCAACTGTTACCAGGCAACTGTTACCAGGCAACTGTTAGTGTTATCAGGCAACTGTTAGTGTTACCAGGCAACTGTTAGTGTTACCAGGCAACTGTTAGTGTTACCAGGCAACTGTTAGTGTTACCAGGCAACTGTTAGTGTTACCAGGCAACTGTTACCAGGCAACTGTTAGTGTTACCAGGCAACTGTTACCATGCAACTGTTAGTGTTACCAGGCAACTGTTAGTGTTACCAGGCAACTGTTATCAGGCAACTGTTAGTGTTACCAGACAACTGTTAGTGTTACCAGGCAACTGTTAGTGTTACCAGGCAACTGTTACCAGGCAACTGTTAGTGTTACCAGGCAACTGTTAGTGTTACCAGGCAACTGTTATCAGGCAACTGTTACCAGGCAACTGTTACCAGGCAACTGTTATCAGGCAACTGTTACCAGGCAACTGTTACCAGGCAACTGTTAGTGTTACCAGGCAACTGTTACCATGCAACTGTTAGTGTTACCAGGCAACTGCTACCAGGCAACTGTTACCAGGCAACTGTTACCAGGCAACTGTTACCAGGCAACTGTTACCAGGCAACTGTTAGTGTTACCAGGCAACTGTTAGTGTTACCAGGCAACTGTTACCAGGCAACTGTTAGTGTTACCAGGCAACTGTTACCAGGCAACTGTTAGTGTTACCAGGCAATTGTTACCAGGCAACTGTTAGTGTGACCAGGCAACTGTTAGTGTTACCAGGCAACTGTTACCAGGCAACTGTTACCAGGCAACTGTTAGTGTTACCAGGCAACTGTTAGTGTTACCAGGCAACTGTTAGTGTTACCAGGCAACTGTTAGTGTTACCAGGCAACTGTTACCAGGCAACTGTTAGTGTTACCAGGCAACTGTTACCAGGCAACTGTTAGTGTGACCAGGCAACTGTTAGTGTTACCAGGCAACTGTTAGTGTTACCAGGCAACTGTTAGTGTTACAAGGCAACTGTTACCAGGCAACTGTTAGTGTGACCAGGCAACTGTTAGTGTTACCAGGCAACTGTTACCAGGCAACTGTTACCAGGCAACTGTTACCAGGCAACTGTTATCAGGCAACTGTTATCAGGCACCTCTCAGGATTAATGTCTGAGTTTCACTTTCTTCTAGACTCCTCTAGCTTTCTTAGATCCTTTCTTAGAATCTTACCAGAGGGAAGCTTTGGGATAGCCTCCATAAACTCCACCTGGCGAAGTATTCGGTTATTCTAGCAAAACACTGTTAAACTTTAAGTCTTTTCGAGACAAAAAAATAAAATGCAACATTTATTAGTATGGTTGATTTATAAATAAAATAATGAGAGATTGAGATTAATAGCTTATTATATAAAGAAGCAATAAAAACGTCTCGTATAAAATTCAAAAGGGAATAATGAGTGAAACCAGTCAAATATATAAAATAGAAATGTGTCAAGGTGTCAACTGTCAAGGTGTCGACTTTCGAGGCGAAACTTTCGGTTTCCCGCCCCGTCAAAATACCAACAGGGTAAAAGTTTCGAGCACAAAATTCAATACATTAATTATATAATTAACATTAATTATATAATTATAGAAAGTAAAGAAATCTCAATGTTTACAGTGACAAAATAGCGTGCTAAATCACTCTATACTCGAACTTCGAGGTGTTTCTAAAATTAATGATGATATCGTTAATTCGGGCTACAGAAATTAGATATTGTCATTATCTTATTCGAGTAAAACTCCATAAAGAACAATCTGCGTCTCTTTCACCACAATAAGTGTTCTATTGTTTAGCTAGCACGATGAGTTGAAAAAACACTTCAATCTTTCTTTTCCACGTTCCAGGTTTCACTTTCTGACTGAAAATTGTTAAAGTTTCTACTCAAATTATGACTCTGTGTTCTCTTTAGACTCCTTAGTTGAAGAAAACAGAAGAGGGGTGACTACACCAAGGTGCGCTATGATGAGCAGGAGATTGATGACACCCAGACGAGACAAACTGAAGGTACCGGGGAAAAGTCCACATACCCAGAGCAGGATCAGGACCAGGTTAACGAACACCACCTGCTTCTTCGATTCTACGTAGAGTGAGTTGAGGAAGCAGCGGTGTTCCAGGGGAGTATAGCCACTGTTCCAAACCACAGCCAGACAGAGGAAGGGAATACCAAACACCACGGTGAATATTATGTAGGAGTCAATGAAGGCGGTGGAGCGGAGGAAGTCGGAGAGGGTCGAGGACACGCCCCTGTGGTACTCCAGCCTGGACCCCGCATAGAGCAGAGTGTCCTGGAACAGACCCACTATAACAAAGAACAGGGTAAAGCAGGCGAGGGAGGATCTAACGAGAGGTTTAACACCGTACCTATTCAGAAGAGACGTGCTGATCCTGTACCCTACAATAGTAGATATCACGTGACTGAGATTAGCGAGTGTTACCACCTGACTGATGTTAGCCGGGGTGGGAGGGACCCGGAACATGGTCTCCCACTCGAAGTTACGGAGTACTATCCAGGTCTCCAGAGGAACAAAGACAGAGGAGATTACCAGCAGGATGACGGAGAGGTAGGGAGAGTGCCAGATGTTTGGGAGGGAGGAGAAGCGAGCTCTACCACAGGCTACCCACATACTTACCACTGCGTATATCCATACTGGCTTTAACAGCAACATCCTGCAACATGAACATCAGTTACAACCATTCTTTCTATTTTATGTCTTACCGCATTCTTGTGTACTGTTAGTATAGTTACTAGGGTAGTTACTGTACTTACTCGGACAGTTACTGTAGTTACTAGGGTAGTTGCTAAAGCTACTAGAGTAGTTGCTAAAGTTACTATGAACATAAACATTATCTTAATAATTTAAAAGCGCAGAAGGGTCAGTTAACGTGTAGCTGAGATACGGGTTAATATAAAGTATTACAGAGAGAGAGAGTGCTGTGTCAGGGTGATAAACAGGTGACATAATTAGGAATAATTATGTATATTATGTATATTATAACTGGATAATGAAGTGGTGAAATCACAGGAACATATGAAATAAGAATAATTCGAGCATTTAAAGGATGGAGCACTGAACAACACGCAGCAAGCTGAACTACAGTATTACAGTATTATATGTACATTGTACTACAGTTAACTAATTGCCAGAGGAAATAGGAATGTATTTATACACAAAAGCGATGCTAGCTACATACATGCTGCTTCATGATTATGAAGATTATCAAAGTTTACAGAGCAAACACTTAACTGTAAACTAGTTAAAAAGAATAACTAAACAGTAAAATTACTTCACAGCTCATCAAATGACAATGGTACCCGATTGTTGGACCTTTGCATTGCCCACCAACTTACCATCGGTGGCACTATGTTTCAGCAAAAGGATATACATAAAGGTACGTGGAGATCACCTAATGGTCGTACTGTAAACCAAATAGACCATATCTGTATCAGTAAGAAGTTTGGAGGCTCTTTGCTAAATGTAAAAGTTTGTAGGGGGGCTGACATTGGGTCTGATCACTATTTGGTAAGAGCACGACTGAGAATGAAGCTTATGTCAGTGAAAAAGAAGCAGGATCGTAAGCTTAAGATTCCTGCTATTGAGCATCTGCGTGATCATTCACTTGTTTCCGAATACAATGTTGTTCTGAGAAACAAATTTGACTGTTTGGAACCTGAGGTTGACCTGGAATCAATGTGGGACAACTTCAAGACAACTGTCCAACAAGTCTCCATGGAAATCCTTGGGCAAAGACCTCGAAAAAAGAAGGACAGGCACCAATCTCAGAAGACAAAAGATTTATTGAACAACCGTAAAGAATTTAAGCGTAAAGACCCTAATTCAAACGCTAACAGGTCAGAGTATTCTAGATTGAATAAGCTCTTTAAAAAAAGTAGTAAGGTGGACGATAACAACTGGGCACTTAGAATGGCTGATGACCTGGAAGAAGCTGCGAGAAAAGGTCAGCAACGCGAGGTATGGCAGAAGATTAATGTCATATCTGGAAAGAAGAAGAAGCAGTCAACTGCAGTTAGAGACGTATCTGGCCAGTTGATTGCCGACCCACATGCCCAGAAAGAAAGGTGGAAAGAGCACTTCTCAAGGCTATTGAACCCGCCCCCGCGAGAGGCCAATATTTCCGACCTAGACAACATCTCTCCTCAACCCAGTTTTGATGACCTTTCCGATTCGGATGAGGCTCCTACAAGAAACGAGATTGTTGATGCCCTCAAAAAACTCAAGAATCACAAAAGTCCAGGAGTGGATGGTATCACCAACGAGCAACTTAAGTATGGACAGGATGGGTTAGTTGATCAACTAGTTGTGTTGTTCAAGAAAGTGTGGGAAGATGAGAAGATTCCTGAGGATTGGTCCAAAGGTGTTATTATCATCGTTGGAAAGAAGGGTGACACCTCTCATTGCGCTAACAACAGAGGCATTACATTAAGATCCACAGCCTCGAAGCTCCTGCAGATGATACTCCTGCGAAGACTTAGCAATGGCATGGAAAAATTTCTCCGGGAGAATCAAAGTGGTTTTAGGCAGAATCGCTCATGCATTGACCAGGTTTATTCACTCCGCTGTATTATACACCAATGTATTGAGTATAATATCCCTCTGTATATTAATTTTGTTGATTTCAAAGCAGCTTTTGATTCAATTGACAGGCAGTTCATTTGGAGAAGTATGCAGCACTACGGCTTACCTGACAAGTATATTAGAATCATGAAGGCGTTCTTTACTCACACAGTTAGTGCTGTTAGGGTCAATGGAGAGGTTACAGGTTGGTTTGATGTCAACTCGGGAACTGGGCAAGGTGATTATATACAGGGACCACCAGTATTCAACTTTTGTCTGAATTTCTCTGCATACCTTATGGAACTGAACAAGGTCATTAGTAAGGGGGCTCTATTACAGCTGCCAGCCCCCGGGGTAGAAGAGAAACATCTCTTGGACACTGATTACGCTGATGACATGGCCATGTTAGATAACTCAAAAGAGGGGCTGCAGGAAACCACTGACCTTCTCTGCAAATACAGTGCCTATGCGGGTCTGAAGATTAATGCTGGCAAAACACAGACCATGGCTGTCAGTAAAAGTGCATCGCAGAGGCCGTATTCTAAAGACGACACTATGGACATCAATGTGGAAGGTCTCCCAATACAGCAGGTCAGCAGCTTCACTTACTTGGGTGCTATCATCAGTGCGGATGGAACAATTGACAGAGAACTATCAGCTCGAATTCAGAAGGCCTCTGGGGCATTCTATCAGCTTAGCAGTATATGGTACAGTCGCAACATCAAGACACCGACTAAAATCAGGATCTACAAAGCGGCTGTCCTCACTATACTGCTTTATGGAAGTGAGGTATGGAATACCACACAGACGCAGATGAAAAGATTTGAGGTGTTCCATCATAGATGTCTGAGAAGAATCCTGAAAATCAAATGGTTTTATCACGTATCTAATGCTGACGTACGTAAGCGGGCCAACATCGCACCTGTTGATACTTTCGTACGAGCAGCTAGGCTCCGATGGTTTGGCCATGTGGTGAGGATGCCAGAAGAAAGAATACCCAACTATCTTCTGCACTGGATCCCAAAGCATGGTAAAAGATCAAGAGGTAGACCTCGGAAAAACTGGCTGTCATGTGTCCGGGAGGATGCAGCAATCTTCACAGGTGTCGATAACATCACGATAGAAGATGCAGAACAACAAGCAACAAACAGGGTACATTGGAGAGGCCTAATACATCGGAGAAAGGAGTTACTATGTGGTGCAGGCCACTCCAACGACTAGGAGGAGACCTTTTCAAGTACAAGTAAAGTAAAATTATTTATAATAAAATAAGACACGTTGAGAGAACAAACCTTACCTGCACTGTATTAAGATTATGTAGAACTTGCTCACATACACTAATGTGTATAATTTACAGGGTTATACAGAATAAGTCAAGCGTACAATAATACCAGTATACTACCTACATCAGACACAAGATCCCATATGACCTGCAAGGGTTCGCGGACGATCTTGCTCTATTAGCCACGCTAAAGGGAAGGCAACAAAGGCTTTGATGCTGTCATCTCAGAGAGATGACGCAGAAAAGTCTTGAAGCCATCATGGTGCACTGATAACGGGCTGAAGCTAATTACACTAAAAACATGTTATGTTCATTTGGAGGAGGAAAGGGAATTCTCTCTAACAGTGAACGGAACAGAAATAGATATGC